TTTGCCTTTCATATTTGGAAGCCAGAAGAAAAAGCACTTCAAAAATAACAATCATAAAACAGGTCATAATAGAGAAGCTACAGCCTGTATTTATAATTTCCATTTCTCCACTGTTAACCAGTGCACAGCTTTGAGGGCAGACTTCTTAATTAGCACTTCTAGTATATGATAACAGCATGCTAATGTTCAAGAACCTCTGCCAGTTCACACACATGCACGCACCCACACACATACCTCTTCAAATCTTTGTCCCCAGTGCCACACGAGCATCAGCTCCATCACCTCCAGTTCATCCACTTCTGAGGGAAATAAAAATAATATGCCTCAAAACCAATACAAAGCTTCACAAGTGTACATGCATGTACCTGAGAGGAGTCCTTATTTTCATCCTAAATATAAAATTGCATAGTGGGATAAATGCATTTTTTTTAAGATTATTTAAAGGCATTTAAACAATGTTTAGCTATTATTAAGAAGTGTGGCAAGATATTCTCCCCACACCATTAAACCAATTTCCATACTAAACCAATAATACAAAACTTGATGGATCCATGCATGTTTATCCCGAACTGTGACCTTACCATCTAAATGTGGCAGCAGAAAACAAAACACATCAGAGCAGGCAACCTATTTCCAATCATTCATTGTCCATGCAAATTCTGGCCTCAATTTCCTGGGAGGTTGCACCGGTATACACTTCTGCTGCTGTAGCTCATCTGCTTCCAGGTTGGATTGTGTTGGGTGTTCAGAGATGCCTTTTTGCAGACTGCAAATTTAACAAGTGGTTATTTTTTAACAAATAAATCACTCAAAATTAGAAATTCTGCCATCACTAATACTTGTTCCAAGCCAGTGGATTTATTATTATTATTATTATTATTATTATTGTATTTAATTTAATTCACCTTTATTTGTATAGCGCTTATACAATGTAGATTGTATCAAGGCAGCTTTACCTAGAAGATCATAGTAAATTGAAACAGTGTCAGTTCAGTTTTCAGAGTTTAAGTTTAGTTCAGTTTAGCTCAGTTGAGTGTGGTTTAATAATCACTACTGAGAGTCCAAACATTGAGGAGCAAATCCATCGATGCGCCGCACTACAGATTCCGAACCATGCAAGCCAGTGGCGACAGCGGCGTGGAATAAACTTCAATAATTATTGTAGAATGTTGAGGATCTATAACTAGGCCTCCGTAGTATTTGTTTTTCTCACTATAGAAGGCACAGGTCTCTCACATTCCAAAAAAAAAAAGGTCTGGAATGAGTAAGTGATGACGGAACTTTCAATTTTAAGTGGACTATCTGTTTGATGACTTATTTCCATTATAGTACAGTACAATATGCAACTATTTCCATTTCCACTGTCAGAAGTTATGATAAGTTATGACACCAAAATAGCTAATCACACTATTTTTGGAATCCTTTTATAAGATTACTTTGCACAATATTACGGTACCTGAATGGTGGAGCTAGACTTACTGCAGAATGCGGATTGGTTTACAACAATACAGGAAGTGCCATTTTAAATTCACAGTCAAAACACAACAAAAATTCAACAAAAGATGATGCAACGTGTTTTGTGTATACGTAATTGAATACTTTCTTTTATATATATATATATATATATATATACACACACACACACACACACACACACACACACACATAAAATCAATTATTCATAATCTGTCTTAAAATTACTTTAATTAAACCAGCAAATTTTTTAACGGAAATTACACAGGCATCATTCATTCATTCATTTTCTTTTTGGCTTAGTCCCTTTATTAATCTGGGGTCGCCACAGCGGAATGAACCACCAACTTATCCAGCACATGTTTTACACAACGGATTTCCTTCCATCCACAACCCATGCAGGGAAACATTCATACACACTTATTCACACTCATAAACTAAAGACAATTTTAGCCTTCCTAATTCACATGTACCGCATGTCTTTGGAATGTGGGGGAAACCAGAGTACCCGAAGGAAACCCACATGAACACGGGGAGAACATGCAAACTCCATACAGTAACACCAACTGACCCAGTCGAGGCTCAAACCAGCGACTTTCTTGCTGTGAGGCAACAGCACTACCTACTGCGCCACCACATCGCTTGACACAGGCTTCTCACAAAAGATAATAAGGCCATGTACAATAGTCATCATTGTGGAAAAAAATTCTGCTTTTATTTACATTTGTACAAAGACTTTAAGTAATTAATTAAGTAATTTGGGCTTGACTGTATATACAGTACACACAAACAAATTATTTTTATGTTTAAGCTGTAAAAAAAAATGAGACAAATTCATTAATAAAAATAACAGTAAATCAACTTAATTCACTCAGCCTTCTGTCATTAACCAGCCTCCTACAAACTCTTCAACATTTGTGTGGGACAATTGGATGAAAAGGGGGGGTCAAAAGCAAAGCAAATTTTTTAAAAAGCTCATAAAGCCAAAGAAGGACAGCTACATTTCTCAAGGGAGTTTGCTCAATCACTGTAGAAAGAGCCTTTGTTCTGCGTAAGGTCAAGGTTTTAAATGTGGATGTAAAGGAAGGAGAGGACACTGAATTGAGACACTGCTCAGCTATTGCTCACTTCCTAATGCACAGATTTGCCATATGGGGCTTTTTGGAGAAGGACATGTGGTGTAGCCATAAGCAAAAATAATTGTCACTATTATAGCTTGTGCACTGCCAGCAATTCATTAAGCTGTCTGACACTAATTATCATCTTGAGATAAATGAAAACAGACAACACATATAGGCGGTGTATGACTTGCTCTTTCACTCAGGGTAATAATAATATAATACTGTTCAACATAGGAGCAACGCAGTGGCGCAGTAAGTAGTGCTGTCGCCTCACAGCAAGAAGGTTGCTGGGTCACTGGTTCGAACCAGGGCTCAGTTGGCGTTTCTGTGTAGAGTTTGCATGTTCTCCCTGTGAATGTTCAGCATAATAGAAAATTGTAGGTGGTGTTATAAGACGCAAACAATGTTAGATATTAGCTCTCTCTGCACTTTTCTGAGATCATATGCACAATGATTTGCAAGAATTTTCTCTGACAGAATGTCATTTATATTATGGGTAAAAATTGCCACTGTAGAATTAGTTTTTATTGTAAAACCTTGTAAATATTTGTATTTATTTTTTGGTATATTACCTCTAAGGTGCCACGGTGGCGTAGTGGGTAGCACGATTGCCTTACAGCAAGAAGGTCGCTGGTTCAAGCCCCGGATGGGTCAGTTGGCATTTCTGTGTGGAGTTTTCTTGTTCTCCCTGTGTTTGCGTGGGTTTTCTCCGGGTGCTCTCTTTTCCCCCACAGTCCAAAGACATGCGCTATAGGTGAATTAAGTAAGCTAAATTGGCTAGTGTATGTGTGTGAATGCAAGAGTTTATGGGTCTTTCCCAGTGTTTGGTTTCAGCTGGAGGGCTATCTGCTGTGTAAAACATATGCTGGATAAGTTGTGCATTCATTCCACTGTGGTGACCCATAATAAATAAAGGGATTAAGCTGAAAAGTAATTGAGTGAATAATTATTACCACTATTTTTAGTTTTTGATGATTAAAAAACTCTTTATTATATTTATGTGTACATTGTTTATTGTATTCATATAATTTTATTATTCAATTATAATTAACCCTACTGTGTCATAATATATACAATACATTATTTAGTATTGCTACAGTATTATATATAATATCCTATATTATACTATACTTATCTTTATACTATACTATACATGAAAAATATAACAAAAAATATATTATAAAATATGCGATTATATTACGCATGTTCCAGTAGCATGTAGCCAGAGTTCGAAAGATCAACCCCACTACTGACAAAATCCAGAATTTGACCCCTACATGAGCTTTGTTTGTCCCGTTTTTGATAGTATGCCTTCATAAATTGTGAAATTATCTAATAAAAGAAGGCTGTAAGACTAACTAAAATTATTATTAAAATGCACAGAATCTTTGTAAATGAGCTGGCTAGTTTGTTATTGCCTTTAGTCGACAGTTTTTAATTTAAACCAAGTTTTAACAGATTCCTAATTGTTTTTTTAAATGATGGATGATTATAAATTAGCATTTAAAAAACTAGGAAGCAGCAGTGGATAGCACGATTGTCTCACAGCATGAAGTTTGCTGGTTTGAGCCTCGGCTGTGTCAGTTGACATTTCTGTGTGGAGTTTGCATGTTCTCCCCATGTTCTCACATACACAGTGTATGTGTGTGAATGAGTGTGTATGGATGTTTCCTAGTGATGGGTTACAGCTGGAAGGGCATCCGCCCAAGTTAAATATATGCTGGAAGTTGGTGGTTCATTCTGCTGTGGCGACCCCAGAGTAATAAAGGAACTAAGTTGAAAAGAAAATGAATGAATGAATGAAATTTAAAAATTTTTTTTTTTCATATTTCTTTGTTAAAAATGAAAAATTATAATCAAATTACATTATTTAAAAACTGCAATAACGTAATGCACATTTGTAAATAAACACATTTTTTGTGAACATAAAATAGTATGATGTGCACTTTGACAAAAATGTAGGAAATATTTTTGTTGCATCAAAAAGTGTGGTTATGATAACCATCCGGCAAGCTAAATTTAGTGCTTAAAATGTCACTAAAATGACATATTTGAACCTCATAATTTTATAGCGAATGAGGTAAATGATTGCAATAAGGTCCACTTTTTGAGAAAAAAAACACCCCATTTTAATCGGCTGGTATGTATATAATTTTGGATGATATTTTAAATGCATTTTTATATAAATATATTGATTTGGCCATTGAGCTGAGTAAGAGCTGTAACATTAAAGTCTCTCCCACTCCTAAACAGCAAGGTCTATGCAAACTTTTCTCAATCATCAACTGAATGTATACTTTCCCAAAGCGCGAATGAATCTCTGTAGTAGGTCCTGTCTCTTTAAGGAGGGGCGTGGTTAACGCACTACAACCCGCCTCGTATGCAAATCCACCCACTACTTTGGGGTACTCGTTTCAGGTGTCCATTCTGAGCGCAAGCCGCGGCTTGAGAAAGGATCATACAACCGCTATAAAGGGCGAGGACAGAAGCGAAGTTCTCATGAAGAAGCGGACTGCAAATCTAGCCGACATCCTCGCCACTCAACTTATAAACAACAGCCGGATGGTACAAAACCACACCTGGAAAAGCGAACACAATACCGGATTATTGAGCACACAGCTGACGACGCTTCATTAACTTGTTGACATGAACGCTTACCGTGCAAAACATTTGTCTGGAGCTCACCGGTAACATTTTCGTGTCTCAAATGACACGCAACATTCTGACTCTGCGCTCTGCATTACGGTAAGTGTTTAATTAAGGATTAATGCAACTGCTTGTCTCAATCGTTTTAGGAGAAAGCTGAGGATTCTGCTGACCAGCAGAGCAAGTTACGAGGACCGTATGGCAGTAGTAGCTAGCTATAGGAGCACTTACATATTACATAGTTGTGTTATGTAATAGAAGCATGTTGCGAAACTTAAGTTTTGTACCGTAAAGTAGAACAGCATGAAGACCAATCACTTTATATACCACCGAGCTATGCATTTAAAATTTATTTCAGTATAATAGCATAATTGCGTGCATATTTTACTATGTAGGCTAATTCATTTATGTTATTCAGAAGGGTTTAATATTATAACCATTATTTATTAAAAAGGTCAAACACTTTAGGCTCTCTGGAAATAAAATGAAGTGCTCTAAGCTAATCATCTCACACAAAGCACCATAAGATCGGATTGTTTTTAAAAGCGGATCAATTGTGGTTTTCAGATCTTGATCTCTAAGGAGGACACCAATGCCAGGAATCAGTGCGAGCGCGTCGCGAATTAAGAAGTGGGAGATGGAGGAATACGACCAATATCAGCACTATTTCTACGACGACCACAACTTGGATGAGGACTTTTTCAAATCGACCGCACCGAGCGAGGACATTTGGAAGAAATTCGAGCTCGTGCCAACCCCGCCCATGTCGCCTGTCAGGATACTGGAAGGTAGCGGTCCATCTCCGGGGGACAGGCTGGAGTGGGTGTCCCAGTTTTTGGGACAGGACGACGAGCAGGAGGGGCTGTGCAAACTCAATGCGGAGGAGACTCTGGAGAACCTGAGCTCCATCATAATTCAGGACTGCATGTGGAGCAGTTTCTCCGCAAGTCAGCAGCTGGAGAAAGTTGTCAGCGAGCGGCTGTCCTGCTCGGCGCAGTCCAAACTCTCCGGCAAGGCGCAGTGCGTCCCTGCGGACGTGCCTGCTCTCAACAGCTTGGCGACAGATTGCGTGGATCCAGCAGCTGTCCTTACTTTCCCCCTGAGCAGCAGCTGCAAGAAACAGGTGTCGTCCGGGTCAGAATCTCGCACCGACTCCTCTGGTAAGTAAGAAATTGTTGACTTTGAGCACTCGCTTAAAGAGATAGTTCACCTCCAAAATATTAACGTTTACTCGCCCTCAAGTGGTTCCAAACATTTGGTAGTCTTTCTTCTGTTGAACACAAAAGAAGATATTTATAAAAAGCTAAAACCCTAAAACAAATGCCATGCTAGTCGATGGTGGTTTCCAACATTTTTCAAAATATCTTATTTTGTGCTCAACTAAGGAAACTCGAGCAAGTAAATGAAGGCAGAGAATTTGTAGCTGTGTTGACGTCTCGTTTTGACACCTGACTGACCCTGATGTCATGCTGTTGCTATTCATTCATGTCCAAATCTGTCAAGCCTGAGTAGAACGGTTTCATTGGTGCCATGGGATTTAGTTTGGCATTTCATCTTTAATATGTGTGGAATGCAATAATGTGCTGAGCTTCAACGTTCCCCAACTAAAACAAAAGGAGAAATTGTTGTACTTGTGGGTGGTGCCTACTAGTAGTGCGTGATCAGCAGTAAAAAAAAAAAAAAAAAAAACAATAATAAGGGTACTTGAATCCTGAAGCGTTCATAGTCACCTAATTGTCCATGAATGAACAGTCAGAATCTGAAGCTGCCATAGTATAGCTGTAGTGGTTACTTGTATAAGTTCATTTTAAGGGAACATGCTAAAAAGAATGAATGAAAATTTTCACTTTAATCAAGTCCCAAACTTGTATACATGACTAGAAGAATCAGTTTTTGTTTGTGCAGCCATACTGTAATCACACTTGATCCCATTCACAGAATACTTCATCTTCATTTGAACTGTGTGTGTGTGTGTATGTATATATGTATGTATATGTGTGTGTGTGTGTGTGTATGTATGTATATATATATATATATATATATATATATATATATATATATATATATATATAAAATATTATTATTATTATTTTTAATGGTGAATATCTGTTAGCATTATTTTTCTTTGTGCTTGGTGCTGGAAGTAAGTAGAGAAGGCAGAGAAGGGGGGAACTCTGAACAGACGCGTTTCTTATCAAAATACAGATCAGAGGTGACCTAAAGTTCATTGTGCCAGATCAAAGCATCATTGGCTTTCCTCTCGTTGAGATTAAGGAAATAAAAGGGGAAGACGATGAATGGAAACCTAATTCCAATTCATAGTTTTAGGGCCCATGCAAAGCTCTTTATATCTCCTATTATGATGCATTCTTGTGGATCTGATCACAAATTCTCAATACAGGTTTAAACAGGGTCTGAAACACTTCAAAGCTGTCTACTTTCGACCACTCCCGGAGTCTGCCAAAAACTCATTCAACAGGATAAGTTTAATAGTAAATAATGACATAATGTAATGCTTTTAAACAACATTTGTTTTGAGAGAACCCGCTCTAATTCTTTTCTAATTCTTCAACATTACGGGCTATGTTGAACTTTCTAGCCAGGCCATACATAAACTTTGCCATCTCAAACTGTACAATTTTATTTTTAAAAAAGGAAAAATATAAAGCTGCAATATTGTCAGGCCTGATTCTACTACAAACTCTTTATGTTTAGTGAATTTTTTTGTGTTCAAGTGTTTTTTTTTTCTTTCTTTTATGTTCATATCTAAATGACTTATTTTCCAATATAAGATTGAATAATCTATATATATATATATATATATATATAATCAGTATACATATAAAGAAAACTAGGAAAGTGTTTGAAAGTGGACAATCTACTTCATCTATTTGTGGTCTGATCAACCAAAATGCATCACCATACCAAGTGTAAACAGAGCAAAAATATAACATCATCTCCATAATATTTGGATGCAGACTTAATTTTGCAAGCTGAGACTGCATATCTCAGACTTGCAATGTCAGACACTCAATGGAGCTAGTGATGTCACTGTTAGGGGTGGGATTAGGTGTGCCCGTTAATAAGCATTGAAACTGCATCAAGTCTGCATCCAGACCCCTCTCAATCATCTGTCTACATTCAATCTGTAATAGTTTACAATTTCTTCTGTTCTTGCAGATGACGAAGAGATTGATGTGGTGACGGTGGAACATAAACAGAACAAGTCTCGTTTGGTGAACGCCCGCAAGCCAGTGACCATCACCGTTCGTGCAGATCCGCACGACCCCTGCATGAAGCGTTTCCACATCTCCATTCACCAGCAACAGCACAACTATGCCGCCCGCTCTCCTGACAGTTATCCTGAAGAAGAGCCGCCCCGCAAGAAAATCCGTCAAGAAATCGTACAGCCACGATTGGCTTCAACACCTCAAACCCCAGAACGAAAAAGTCCATTACCTTCCCCATCAGTCCCTGCTCAGTCTCCAACTGTCTCTGCTTCGCCAACACATACATCCTACCACCTCAAATCACAACCATCCAGCCCGCAGAGTTCGGACTGTGAGGACACAGACAAGCGGAAGACGCACAACTTTTTGGAGCGCAAAAGACGAAATGACCTTCGCTCACGCTTTTTGGCACTACGGGATGAAATCCCAGGCCTGGTTGATTGTCCAAAGACACCCAAAGTTGTGATCTTGACTAAGGCGACAGAGTATCTCCGTACGCTGCATGTCAGCGACAGACAGAAGGCCCAGGAGAAGAAGCAGCTGAAAAGCAAGCAACAGCAGCTACTAAGGAGACTCGCGGAACTGAAACGTGCATAAATCTCAACCAGTCCAGCCATGTTTTCAATAGGAACAATTTAGAGCTGCATTTATTATTATTTTTTTTTTGTAAACATGGGGATATTTAACGGAGTAGACTCTATATTTTGAGATTAGTTCTTCAGTTTTCGTTCTTTGCACATTTGCCTTCGCAGTTGTCGGGGGAGGGGAAAGACATACTTACGGAAGCTGAGGTACTGGTGGACCCTACCAAGTTTCAAACACTTTTCCAAAGAGGTCGTTTTCATTTGTAATTCAAAGATTTAAATCCTGAATGTGTTTAAATTTGTGCATTTATGCTAAAGTATTTGGGCGGGGAAGTAATATTTCATTAAATTAGCATGCCAATTTAGGCATTATTTGAAATGTAGCAATTTATATGCATGTGTAATTGATCGTCAAGGGTTTTTTGGAGGCAGAATCTTAAATTAGTGTGGTTAAATATTGAAATTCTCCATTTATAGTGCTTTGTTACTCAAATAAACCTAAAATTAAGGAGAGCTGTGCGCCCCCATTGCCACATGATGACAGTAAGTTTAACAGACAGGAAGTTGCATCACTGTTACTTTGTTGCATTAAGTTCCATGATTATTTTCTCTCTCTGTTTTTGTTGTTCTTGTATATTATTCTTATCTTGAACCTTCAGGACCGTGTCCAGCACAGCCTTGCAGTGTATATAAACTGTGGCATATTCTTTGGACATATGTGTATATAATAACAGTAATGTACAGGACATTGTGTAAAAAAAGAAACATGCTTTTGTGTTTTGAATAAGAAAATCAGCACTGTTAATAGACTTTATTTTCTATTTTTCTGTCATTTGTCCTAAAACTCGGTTGGCCCACCCGCCTTCCCAGGAGTATCTCAAAGTTTCTATTTTTGTTAAGAAAATTAAAAAAGAAAAAAATCAAAAAGTTAAATAACACTATCATTTCATTTTCATCACTAGCCACTTTATGCTGTTTTCACTGCCTATTACCTTGTGTTCTGAAGTTGCTTTTGGCTTGTTATAGCTCTTGTGGCAGAATAAATGCTGAAAGAAGTTTTGTACTAATTATATTTTCTTACGGAATTGATTGTATCATTGTTTTGATTCTATTTAATATGGTGGTACTGGTGGCGTATGCTTGCTTTGGACTTTATAATTTGACGTTTACGCACACTGTCATTTTGTAGAAACTAATAACATAAATAAGGGCAATGTTTCACAGCAATCACCAATAATTGATTGAGGTGATTTCTCTTTGTACAAACTCTGGCCATAAAAATGGTCCATAAAAAGGACCTGATAGCAGGACACATATGCCACCAGTAACCCAGTTTTGTTTATTATTTTGGTTTTTCACGTTCATCCCATGTTGTCAGGTGTCATACTGGGAAAAGAATGGCAGCAGCGTTGTCTAAGCACTTTGTGTTCTGTACCTCATAAGCCTAAACATTAACTCCAATTTGGATAAACAATAAATAAATTCAGTTCAAATCATATCCAACTGTTTGTCTTTCTTTAGTTTTTAAATGTACAACACAATGCTTTCAAATATGGTTGAATACACCACTGATCCTGAAGCCAATACACCATTAAAGCTGCGGTCACACTGGACTTTTCTTCCCACAGACTTCCATTCATATGCACTCGAATGCGTAAGACCGGAAACACAAGTTCGTGCGTCAAGTTTCACAGTTCAGTGCGTTGCAAAGTTCAAGCTTGGTGAACTCTGACCTGCGAAATTGCATTACTTGACTGCGTGAGACCAATCAAGGATCAAAACATGACCTCTCTGCACAGAATAATATGGACCAATCGCTCACTTTCTTAAATGTCTAATTATCTTGTTTAATCCCGCCCCTTTTCGCAGCACCATACAACAGAATTTCACAATCTCAAACTTGTGTAACTCCAGCTTTATGTAGATTCACAACTAGAACTATACAAATCATTCATTCATTTTCTTTTTGGCTTAGTCCCTTTAATAATTTGGGGTCGCCACAGTGGAATGAACCGCCAACATATCGAGCATATGTCTTACGCAGTGGATGCCCTTCTAGCTGCAACCCATTACTGGGAAACATCCACACACACTCATTTACACACATGCACTAAGGACAATTTTAGCTTACCCAATTCACCTCTAGCGCATGTTTTTGGACTTGTGGGGGAAACCGGAGCACCCGGAGGAAACCCAGTGGCTTGAACCAGTGACCTTCTTGCTGTGAGGTGATTGTGCTACCCACTGAGCCACAGTGATGCCCCTATAGGTATCGATGTGCTTGTAATAAACAAGTGTTATGTATGTTGTTGAAAAACTGTCAGTTTTCTGTCAGAAAAGCTCTAAAACCATGTTCCTGGAGGACCACCAGCTCTGCACATTTTCCATGTCTCCTTAACCAAACACACCTGATTCTGACCATCAGCTCATTAGAATAGACTGAAAGACCGGTAATGGTTGTGACACACGAAGGAGACATCCAAAACATGCAGTGCTGGTGGGGTTCCAGGAACATGGTTGAGAAACACAGCTCTAAATGACAATAGTTTAATTTTAAATGTGGGAGAAATATTATCAGACCCTTATATAATAAAAAATATTAACATTTTACTCAAACATTCATTCGTTTATCCATTTTCTTTTTGGCATAGTCCCTTTATTAATCTGTGGTCGCACACAAATGCGGGGAGAACATGCAAACTCCACTTAGAAATGCCAACTGGAACTCGAACCATTATTGTTGTGAGGCAACAGTGCTAACCACTGCACCACCGTGCTACCCCTTTACTCAAACATATACCTAGGTAATAAAGTCTCATCAGAGAATTTTCAAGTAGTGTTAATTTTTACTTTATACCTGTATATCTTATTATTGCTACCATAAATATGGCTGTTGCCATAAATAAAGATTCCCTCATTATTTTCTCACCTGAATGTTGTTCCAAACATATACATGGAACACAACATGACATATATAGCTGAATTATAACTTTAAGCGTGTCCTAATGTTATTTAACAGTAGTTTGCTGATATAGATTGGCAGTGATTGCTTTTTTAAATAACTTTTGGCAGAAAATAGCTTTTACAGTGTGTGGAATAAGAGCTATTTTCCTCCATCAACACCTGTACGAGTGTGTGAACTGGATTTGATCATTTCATTAGCGCAAGCCGCTTTTAGTTGACACGTCGTAGTGCCCTTCTTTGCCATGACAACGAGCATCTCTCTTTTCCTTGGTGCAGAACACTCTGTTGCCATAGAGATGGTAGAGAGCTATTCATACCCACGTTCTTCCGGAAGGTGCACAAGTCGACCTGCTGAAGTCAACAGTGTTGTCAAAGCTGCACACTAAATGATTTAAAACTGCAACAACTTATCAGACCTGAGTGAATACTCAAAGCTGATTATTTTAATAAAGGCAGAGTACACTATTAAACTATCACTGTGTTATTAGAGCTCACATTATTTTAACATGATCTAAAATGAACCCACTAAGGTTTAAATGCAAGTTAACCCCAACACTGATGAGTATACACAAAATATTGTTACTTTCATGTTGGATGGTATTTTTATTAATTCTAATTTATAAAATAGTTTAATAAATATAATTTAAAAATGTGGTTTGCTATTGTAAATACAACTTACATGATAATTGTAGTAAAAAATGTAATCTAGATTACTTATTTCAGATTACCTCTGACCTAAATTACATTTAAAAATGTATTATTATTTATGTTTCAAAAATTTTATTTTATATCGAGAATATTCATAGCTGAACAATATTAACAGCATACATTTTTGTAAGGAAAATTTTAAAGACAAAATAAAATTAGTGAGAATCAATAATCGTACACTACCTTACAAAAGTCTTGTTGCCAATCCAAGTATTAGAAACAACAAATCATATCTTGACTTCTAGTTCATCATTTGGTTTCAGAAGAGGCTCATATGAAAGGCAAAGGCCTCTAGATTACACTTATTTTACCAAAATAAAATATGATACTGCCTTGATTTTTAATTATTTAATTAGGACAGCAAGGTGTCATGATGCAGTGGAAAAAAGGATTAATATTGAGCTTTGAGAACTGCATCATACATCTCTGCAATGACTCAAATAACTTATTAATAACTTCATCTGGAATGGCAAAGAAAGCGTTCTTGCAGGGCTCTTAGAGTTAATCAAGATTCTTTGGATTCATCTTCAATGCCTCCTCCTTCATCTCACCCCAGACATGCTCAATAATTTTCATGTCTAGTGACTTAGTTGGCCAATCCTGGAGCACCTTGATCTTCTTTGCTTTCAGGAACTTTGGTGTGGAGGCTGAAGTATGAGAAAGAGTGCTCTCCTGCTGTAGGATTTGCCCTCTCTTGTGGTTTGTAATGTAATGGGCAGCACAAATGTCTTGAAACCTCAGGCTGTTGATGTTGCCTTCCACTCTGCAGATCTCTCACATGCCCCATACGGAATGTAACCCCAAACCATGATTTTTTCCTTCACCAAACTTAACTGATTTCTGTGAGAATCTTGGGTCCATGTGGGTTCCAATAGTTCTTCTGTAGTTTTTATGATGATTGGGATGCAGTTCAACAGATGATTCATTTGAAAAATCCACCTTCTGACACTTTTCCAAATGATCAACAAGAAGTCAAGTTATTATTTGTTGTTCTTACAACTTGGATCGACAGCAGACTTTTGTCAGGTAGTGTATGTTGTGTAATGATACAGATTGTATTTATATGCTATAACTAGATGCATTTATTTTAAATAATGAGTCTTTAGACATTCATGTAAGGCGGGTGATCTGGGCCATTTTTCTGGGCCCTTTGAAAGCATTACCAACAACAACAGGCAAAAAATGTCTGCATTTGGTATTATATTTATGTATGTGACAAACATACATCGGACATCTAGTTTTTTTTTCATGAAGGTCTATGTATATTTTAGATACTTTTGGCCCCAATCACCATCCATGTGCAGGAAAGCTTCACAGCCAAAAGAACAATAGCAGACTACTCTTTATCTTTGATAAGTGATATGGCCAGTACTGGCCAAGCATGAGTAATAGCTACAGTGTTTTTATATTTTTTGCCAATTCATGTGAATGGAATAACAACTTTGTTATCTATAAAAGTTATAAAAACACAAAGTATTAAAAACAAAAAACTTTCCCTTGTTTAAAGTACATCACTGTTGTGTAAACATACTTACCCGTATATAAATATGTAACGTGATGAAGCTCATGTTTTTTTTCACTTCTTGCTAAATATTGCTTCTCACCAACTCTATCTCTGCGAGTGTTGTAATTCAATTTGTCGTTCACAAAAGAGAAGCTTTTTAGTTTTCTGCTAACGTACAATCAAATAAATATTATTTTACAAGACCTGTGAAGAACTGATGCCAAGGTATCCATAATCCTGGACCAGGCCATGTCCTGAACTGACACTGCAGCGGTCATGGAGGAGTGGAAAGCCTGAGACCAATTCCTGAAAGACCCCAGTGACAGACGAGTCTCTGCATTGATCCCATGGGCCAGCTTGAACACCCGCAGGTGACCTACTCACAACTGCAGCTTTTCGACGATGGACGTCTAGTGTTCTCCAGCCTTCAGTGCCTGAGCTGCAATTCCACACAGAAAGTTTGGTCAGAGGAAAAATGGTCGTGCCCAACTGAGGCTGGTTTCTCTCAAGGGTTTTTTTCCCTTCGTTTTCGTCAATTGGTGAAGTTTGTTCCTTGCCACTGTCACCACTGGCTTGCAAAGTCAGCATTTGGACTTTCAGCAATGAAAATTTAACCATTCTGGACTAAACTGAACTTAAACTCTCAAAACTGGACTGACACAGTTTCAATTTACTAGAACTTCTACGTTAAGCTGCTTTGATACAATTTACATTGTAAAAGCGCTATAAAAATAAAGATGAATTTAATTGAATACTATACTATATGGCTAACAGTTCTTTAACGTTATCATAGATCTATGCACTAGATATCGCATACAGACCTTGAGTATGCATCAATAGCGCCGCCACATTTGTACAGTGCTCCCAGGACAAATGTCATTCATCTTCACTAGTCAAGACTAAAGCCAATCTGAAGATGCTAGACTGTAGCGCTGCATACGGTAGTAATAATGAGCAAACAAAGAAAACAAATCACAAAGACATCACATTTCATTGGTAAGATTTCCTTTTTTACAAACTTTTGTGCTAAACAAGTATTGACGATAACAGTCTCTCACAAACGAAAAGCCACAGGACACAGGACACAGATTAGATCAAATTCAACAAGGGGTGACGATAATACATTTCCATGCAAACAAAACACACACTCTTTGTCAGGAATGATCGTCAGTTCCCTTATCCATTAATGTAAAAAAGTGATGTAAAATCATAATTTTTGTTATTTAAATAAGTATTTTTATACTGACCAGCTGGAAAACTTAATCATAGATATATGTATATATGTATACCTTTGGCTCCAGGTGGACAGTCCTCCACCGCA